TCCTTTCCCAATTTTGAACCAATCAGTTGTTCCATATCCAGTTCTAACTGTTGCTTCCTGTCCCACATATAGATTTCTCAGGAGATAGATAAGGTCATCAGGCACTCCCACTTCTTTAAGAGTAAGTCTTCATAGAATTGGTCAATTTCAGCCTCTTTAGCATTGGTGGTTGGTGCATAAACTGGGATTACTGTGATGTTGAAAGGTCTGCCTTGGATTCGTATTGAAATCATTTTTGAGATTGTATCCCAGTACAGCTTTTCCCACTCTTTTGTTGACTATGAGGGTTACTCCATTTCTTCTATGGGAATCTTGCCCAGAATAGTAGATGTGATAATCGTCTGAACTGAATTTGCCCATTCCCGTCCACTTCAGTTCACTGACACCCAGGATGTCAATGTTTATTCTTGCAATCCCCTGTTTGGCCACATCCAGTTTACCAAGGTTCATAGATCTTACATTCCAGGTTCCTATGCAATATTTTTCTTTGCAGCATCGGTCTTTCCTTTCACTTCCTGGCACATCCGCAGCTGAGCGTCCTTTCGGCTTTGGCACAACCACTTCATTAGCTACTTGTATTTGTCCTCCGCTCTTCCTCAGTAGCAGGTTGGACGCCTTCCGGCCTGAGGGGCTCATCTTCCAGTGTCATATCTTTTAGCCTTTTGTTTCTGTCCATGGAGTTTTCTTGGCAAAAATATTGGAGAGGCTTGCCAGTTCCTGCTCCAGGTGGATTGTGTTTAGTCAAAACTCTCCACTATGATCTGTCCATCTTGGGTGATCTTGCACAGCATAGCCCATAGCTTCTCTAAATTACTCAAGCCAACCCAACTTTGGGCTAGAACTTGGAAAAGTTAATTTTTAAAATTAGCCACATTGTCTAGGGGCACTTATCAGAGTTATAAATTTTTAAAAGTTACTTTTGTAAGCTCTGGAAAAGGCAGAGCAGGGCTATTGTCTCAGGCCGCAGAATAAGGGAGACAAGGTGTTGGAAGAAGCAGGTGTGTGCTTCACAGCCTGACCAGTGACTCCTAAATTAGTCTGTTGCCTTCCATTGCTAGAGTATAAAGAATAAATAATAATATTCAACTGCCTGTCTAATTGACTCTTATATTTGGACCAGGAGGATATGCCTTCTTGTTTCTTTACCTCAGGCAATGAGATGTCTTTGGTCATCCCTGCCACTTGCACTCTGCCCCCTTAGCTAGCTTGCAGCCCTCAGGTGTTGTGCATATTTGGGATGCTCTGAATTGCCTATGGTGATGCTCAACCAGTCCAGTTAGTTCCAGTTTACGAAGTAAGGGAGAGGGCATATTCTTGCTTGTTTACATTCTCTTTTGTTTTTGCCTCAGAGAGCAAAAGGTGGACCTTCAAGGTCAGAAAGCTTACCTGCGTTTGAACCGCAGCTGGTCTCTGCTTCCTCATTTCCAGGACCACATCGAAAATGCTGAAATGGGGAGGGATTCGCTGAAAAACAGAGGAGGGAACCTGGCGACTTGGGAGTACAGTGGCCATGCTCTCACATGACATAAAAGCTTCAAACCATGCGCTTTGGTTTGTTCCTGTTCCTGTGAGGTCAGAAAGCTTACCTGCGTTTGAACCGCAGCTGGTCTCTGCTTCCTCATTTCCAGGACCACATCGAAAATGCTGAAATGGGGAGGGATTCGCTGAAAAACAGAGGAGGGAACCTGGCGACTTGGGAGTACAGTGGCCATGCTCTCACATGACATAAAAGCTTCAAACCATGCGCTTTGCTTTGTTCCTGTTCCTGTGTTACTCTCCTTTACCCTTCCAGTCCTGCAGGGCCAGCTGTATCATTAGGCAGAGTGAGGGGTCCGACTGGGGCTGCGGTGATGGGGAAAAGCGGCGAGTCATGGAGGGGGATCAGATGGCCTTATGGTGTGTGTCTGTCCTGCATGCTTTAAGTTGCCCCCCCCACCTCAGTTGTCATGGAGGAAACTGCCTCCTCACCAATGTTGAAACAAAATTCCGTATATGGAGGGATGAGGTCTTTTTTTCCTTTGCCCCCCCCACTACTTCCAGCAGACAATGTCTTGCACTAACCCTGTACTTTCCCCCCCTCTGAACAGCCACCCGAGGTCTCCTTTCTAGGAAACAGGAGGCATATCAATCAAGTAAATCTATGAATATCAGGCAAAAAGAAAAAGAAAAAATTAAGAATACTAAAACTTTGTGGCACCTTAAACAATAACTGCTATATTTCAATGTGTGTTTTTGTGGACAAGTCCACTTCCTCATGCATGCCACAAAAGTGCACACTAAACTAGTGCAGTTAGTCTTTAAAGTGCCACAGTGTTTGTATCTTCTTTTTATTTTTGTGTGTGTTTTTACTTGGTAAACCAGGGCAGACTAATACAGCCGTCTCTTCTAAAACAAAATCTATGAAGTCACCCTAAAAGGCATTTCAAAGAATTGAGGGGGCAAGAGTAAGGGAAGCAGGATTCATTTACTAGGAACAATAAATATCTTAATGATTGCTTAGGAAGAGCCACAGTTCTCAGCCCAAAGCACTTTTGTCTTAAGACTCGGGAAGACCAAACAACATCTGAACGTGAATCACCACCAGTTTACCTTAAATGCATATGTTTTCCCACCTCACAAACAGCTAATCTGAGAATTTTAATCTAGGTTTCTCAGCCCAAAGCACTTTTGTCTTAAGACCCGGGAAGACCAAACAACATCTGAACATGAATCACCACCAGCTTACCTTAAATGCATAGGTTTTCCCACCCCACAAACAGCTAATCTGACAATTCTAATCCAGGTTGAGAGCTGGAGTTACTGAATCCTCTCCTTTCGGATGTGACTCTATCAAGTGGCCAGTAACTATGCTGGCTGAGAATGATGGGAGTTCTTGCTCCATCCATCCCAAGAGCATTCATTTGGAGGAAGCTCTGCTAGATTTGACATCCTCAAAGCTGTTGGGAGAGCCTTGTGGAGCATTCTCCTTTCGGATGTGACTCTATCAAGTGGTTGAGAATGATGGGAGTTGTTGCTCCATCCATCTCAAGAGCATCCATTTGGAGGAAGCTCTCCTAGATTTGACATCCTCAAAGCTGTTGGGAGAGCCTTGTGGAGCATTGGCTTTCGTGTACAGTATATCTCTCCATGGATGCCTAGTAGGGGCATTATGGGAATACAAGTAGGTTGTATCTGTCCTTTTCACTGGCTATTTCTCACTGTCCTATTGCCGTCTTTATATATACTGTATACATATTTAATAGGAAATTATATATCGATATATATTTACTAGGACCAACTATATATATATAACTTGAAAGTTAGAAAGGACTGGGGGTAGAAGACAGGGAGTGGAAGATGGATATATATACTTCCTGTCTTCTACCCCCAGGCCTTTCTATATCTATATCATATCTATATTTAGCCATATACAGTGGTGCCCCGCATAACGGGCGCCCCGTTTAATGACAAATCTGCATAGTGATGTTTTTTGCAATCGTTTTTGCGATCGCACTGCGATGTTCTAAATGGTAAAACATCGCTTTGCGATGATCAGTAAGCTATTTCGCTTACCGATTTTCACATAGCGATGTTTTCCTAACAGCTGATCGGCGGTTCCAAAATGGCCGCCGGGTAAAAAAAACGGCCGGCCGCAGTGTTTTCGCGCCCATTCCTCGCTTACCGGGCAGCAAAATGGCGGCTGTATAGAGGATTTTCGCAGAATGGTGAGTTTTTTGCCCATAGGAATGCATTAAACGTGTTTTAATGCATTCCTATGGGCTTTTTTGTTCCGCATAGCGACGAATCCGTATAGCGACGATTTGTCCGGAATGGATTATCGTCGCTATGTGGGGCACCACTGTATAAAAATATATATATTCTCCACTTCCTATCTTCTACCCCCAGGCCTTTCTAAACTTTCAAGTCATTAACATCTTTTGAAGGTACACTCTGTTCCCCAGTCCCCACCCACAGGACTTGAGACATGGTGTTCTACCTAATTTTAACCGGTTAATCTGTGCCTAGTTTATTGTTCCAGAGAACAGATCAATAAAATGGGTTTTAAATGTCACAGGGAACATTTACTCTGCTAACAAATGGATCTTCCCACAGATCTAAAAGTCCAACTCAAAAATTACAACAATAGAAACAAGCCAGATGAAACCAGACAGACAGACAGACACATCTCCTATTCACCCAGAAGTCCATATCTCCTTGCACAGCAAATACCTGTTTGATCAGTAGTTGCCGTACATATTCCAATGTACAAATCACTCCTGTTCGGCCACAGCCAGCACTGCAGAGAAAAGGAGGAAGGGGGACAGTGGTGAGTGAAAGTCTATCTACAAAATAACACAGATCTTGAAAAAGCTACTTTTTTTTTTACCAGAATACCCAGACCTGAGACTCATCAGAGGTACGCAATCTTTTCCCAAAGAATCAAATGTCAGTTTCACATGTGCCCTGTTTCCACCCAGCAAAGGCAACAATGGGCTGCAGAAAGTGATTTATAAATTAATCCCACCTCCTAGAGGCTTTGCGGGAGCATGAGATTTTGGCAGCTTTTTAATGCAAACATTTTTTTCCAGATCCAAGGTCACACCGATTGGTGGGTGAAGGTCACAGGCACCTACATGGTTAGGGTTCCTCATCCAGTGTAATCTGTAGAAATGAGGAATGGTTTATTTATTTATTTTACTACAGATCCCAAACTATGTGCCTATGCTGGCTAGGATAGTCTGGGAATTTTATTTCCATGGAGTAAGTTTTCTCTTTCTGTGGCAATCGGTCAGAAGCTGTATGGGGCAAGTGGGGATGTTTAAGCCAACAGGGACAGTGCACAGAACCAAAGGGAGGACAGTCCACCCCCTTTTCTCAACCTCCAGCATTGGGTCTGATCACACGGAGAAACAGGTTTCAGTTCAGAATGCTTGTGGAGCAGTCCAGTGCCATCTGTTTCCTGGCAACCACATGAGGCCTGAGGGAACGTTTTCCAGCCTGACCCTGACCTCTGCCCAAGCTAGACTTTTTTGCTCTAGCTGTAGGGCTTCTACTTTTGGGGGGGGGGCAGGCTAGAACAACTCCCAGGCAGATAGAGGGGTCACTTTAAGGGAGGTTGCACCTATTAAAGCGATCCTCTTTGGTGTAATAAGGTCCACACTTAGCAGTATTGGGATCATACCTATGTTCTCTCCCTTCCCTTTGCATCTAGTGGCTGACGGGGAATGACTTGTACAGAGGCCTAAACACACTTGGTTGCATTATTTCACATGAAGGGCCTCATGCAGCCCAAAAGGAGCAGGCTGTTGACTCCATATACTGTATATAGGCTTGTGTTCTTAGGGTGCCCCTTACCTGCAATGCACACAGATGGGTGCAGTGTCCTCCCCTTGCTTCTTTCTCACATGTTCAATCATGTCCAGGAAGTAGCCATAAGTATCTGGGATGCCCCGGTCTGGCCAAGCCACATATTGAAAATGAGAAATAACTCGCTCCTCCTGGAATGGGGAGAAGACAGCGATCAACAAAACGATTCCTTCATTCTGCTCCCTGTGCCGTATTGATCCACATAAAGCACAAGGATTCTGTAAAATGGGAGGCCTCACTGGATGGAAGACATTACAAGCACTAAAAACCACCTCTGAGCTTCCATTGGGCCATTTGTGTCACATCTGAATGTGGTTGCTGAAAAGAGAGTCATTTGTAGAAGAGGAAGATCAAATGCATATTGTTTGGGATTAAGATTTTACTTTTGATTACCCAGTATATATTTTAAATGTAGAGAAAAGTAGATTTAAAAACTCCACAGCTGAAAACACCCTTACATGACATGTTTAAATCAATTTTTCCCCAAGCATATTAGATGGTGTGCTTCCAACCGAGCAATTGTAATCTGGCATTCTGGGCATAGGAAGGTCAAGGAGTAACAATGGCCAAATTTTTAATGTCTTAGCAGTAACACTCATATGTTATTTTTGCATGCATGTAACAAGCGATATTTATTCATGGACTTACATGCTAATTTTTGCACTGTTTGGAGTAATTTGTAGACATTAAAAGTGCATTAAAAGCACTTTAAAAATAACAGATTAGTAATACTGTACAGTACTAACAAGCAATGCTATATATTACTTTGTGCTCTATGTTTTCCCATATACAAAGGAATGGATAACACTGCTTGTTACTACAGAACTATTATTTTTTAATACCATAGCTAACGTGTCAGGTCTTCAAAATAACTTTCTAAGCTCTGACATGACCCCACCTCTGAGACAAATTATCTTCATTTTGTTCCCTAGCGGAAGATCTAGAAGAAGACCCATTTAGGTTTGCTGCTTCTGACACCACACAGGTATTCCCATGGCAAAGTCTTCAAATCTCAGTGGTTCACCTAATTTTAAACTGGTCTTAGAGATGGCTTTAAACCAGAGGTTCTTAACCTTTGTTACTTAGATGCTTTTGAACTGCAGCTCCCAGAAACCCCAGTCAGGACAGCTGGTGGTGAAGGCTTCTGGGAGTTGTAGTCCAAAACTCCTGAGTAACCCAAGGTTAAGAACCAATGCTTTAAACAGTGTAGAAGCCTGGCCTTCCGCCTTGACATAGAGAAGAAAACAGTGATTCCTATTTATTCTTTCTTCAGCTTCCACTACAAGCACCAGCAGCTTATTTGTGGGAGACTGGAGAAGGCAGCATCTGGTTAGGTTTAGGGATATAAGTTCCCTCCCCTGGCCCTTGTCCAGCTATACCCGTTGGGAGACTGCAAAATAATATCCTTACCTGCTGAAATGTCAGAGTAAGCATCCGCAGTATGACATCAGAATTGAGCTCCTGCTGTTTAACCTAAGGCAGAGAGAAGAACACAGGGCAGTACAACGAGTCAAAATAATGCCCAGGTTTAGGATTTGAGGAGGTCTCTCCTTCTTCTAATTAGTGCCAGCCGTCTGTGATTGGCAGCTAGGACTACATGACCACCTTAATTTCAGCCTCGCTGCCTGCCACATTTCCATATCCCTTAAACAAGTGCAACCTTGCCAATTCTTCATTGTGGCAGGTCTCAGGAATTTTGACCACCCTCTCAGCCCTTTTGCTAAATGAAGATGTTAACTGAAGATGAAGGCATAGTAATTTGGGTGGAAGTGGGTGCAGAATAGACCAAAGGAAGCAGGTTTCCCCTACTACACACATTCTCCGCTTGTGATCACAGCTGACACAAGTGGTATTTAGCTGTATCAATCCACTGTGCTTTTAGAGAGAAACAACTAGCCCCTCCTTTCTCCCTTCACTCTTTCTTACACCGTGATCTGAGCCCTGTTTTTCCAGGACTCTTGCTTGTCTGTAGAGCCTACATAACAACAGGCATTTCTTCTCTTCAGACATTTCACTCACAGGGTGAATAAAGCAATGTAAAGCTATGGGACCAGGATGGTTTGATTTGCCTTATTTTATGTTTCTTACACAATATACAGATCAATGTGAATCCATCTGGAATTCCCACACCCTCCAATCTGTACTTATTCTGCTCTTGGGGCTTCTACTTTTCCCCCTCAATCAAATGCATTCACATTGGTTCATACAATATGATCTCTTGAGTCAATACTGAAAGCGCAACCAGAAGCTGGCTCTTCCAGCTTCCTAATTCCAGGTAGAGGGAGTTGCTTCCTCTCAACTGAACATCCTTGTCTCCCAGTCAATTTTTTAAAAAGATAGTGCAAGCACTGGAGTACTATGGCAGCTGGAGACCAAAGGGGGGGAAAGAACAAGAAGTCAGCAGAGAGCAGGGAGGAAATTGCTTATCAGCAGGTTGTTAAAGTAAATTTTTGCAGCTTGTTAAGGCAGCTGTGATGCAGTCATGTCTCTTGCTGCCTCAACAAGCTGCAAACAAGAAGGATTGCCAATTTACTCTTCCCTCTCTTCTGACTCCTGTGTGGCCAACTGAAGCAAATTCACCCAGGGAAACCCAACTGCCAAGGTGTAACTTTATAGCATTTGCATTTTTCCTCCTGTGTGGTCACACCCTCGGCTGCAGATTAAGCATGCAGTGGTACATGAGTAAAGACGTCATGCTTGGAATGGTCAGTGGTAAAAGATGACCAGGACACCAAAGAACGTGTAGGTTCGATGTATTCAAAGCAGACACCGGCCAAAATATGAAGCAGCTGAAAGAAGCTGAACAAGATCAGAAATCATGGAGACAGCTGGCTCATGAAACCGCCAAGGGTCGGATATGACTGAATGGATAATTCAGCTTGGTACATGAGTGACATTAACTTGTGCATTCAGTCCTTTGAGCCTCAGAATAATTATCTGCACCCACTTCCTCCTTTATAACAGAATCACCTCCATACTTCTCGCTCAGAAAATAAGATAACATGTCCTTATTAGAAAAATTGACTTGTAATAGGAGAGGTGTCAGCTATCAACTCTTCAGTTGAGCAGTAGTCTAATTCCAGGAGTTCCTCCCTCTGCCACAAAGTGATGCTTCACATCAAAGTGCTTCATGCTGCTTGTGCCTGTGCAAGTTCTATGCACCCTGCATTGTCTTCAAGAATCTTTGTGGATTCTGGTTCAGTTATGCCTAATCTAGTAACAACTGGAAACTGTTTCTGTGCTTCAAAGTGAAGATAATCTGTTGGTTTTGGCTTGCCAAGAAGGTAACTGATCCTCCATAAAAGAATAGTTTTTTTTTCTTGGCTGACTTGTGCTTGGAGGTGTCCCTGGCTCAGTCATCATTTGCACATCCTGAAAACTCTGGGGTCTTCAGCTGCTTACAGTTGTTAATGGAAGGACCTTTTGGAGACCACTAATTCATAGGGTTCCCGTAAATCAGAAATGACATAATGGGGTATAACAATAAGATACATAAATGTGTAGTGTGTGTACATGTTGTAACAGAGAAATTAAGCATACACACGTACACACACACACAGAGGAAGATGGGGACGGAGGGAGAGAAAGAAAGAGATGGATCAACAGGACTGTCTACAGTACATTTCCACACCTTCCTTGGGAGTGTAGCTACGGAGACTGTCACAAACAGAAGTTCTGCTTCAAGATTCATTACTGCAACATGGCCCTTCAAACCACAGTCTGCCACCGTCCTCAAACCACAGCCACTTTACCTGCGCCACAGAGAACGGTCCAAATTGTACAGCTTCCTCTGTTACAGGCCAGTAACACTCACACTTTTTCTGGGGTGGGAGGAAAAGGGGAGAAAGAAAACAAAACATTAACCAAGATTCTGAAAGGAAGATGATGGCACTGTCCCCTACAGAAAAAGGGAAGGTCAGGATGGGCAAATACGGTTGCTGTTTCCTGCCTTCTGATGCCACTCACTCCCTGACCACAGAGGTCTCTCACCTTGCCCATTTCCACTTCCCGGCATGCCATGACAATCACCTGCAACAAAAGGAAACCCCATGAAGGAAGAGCAATCGGACACATTTCATTCACTCTGAGAGAGGCCGCTCTTGTAAACGGTATGCTGGCTACAATGCCTTGTTGTACTAATACAAGCAGGATGGGAAGAGAACACACGAATGAATGGTGAGGATTTTCTCCAGGACAGTTCTGAGCAGAGGTCAGGGGAGGCGGGGGAGAGGCAAGGTTTTGCTTTACTTTGGCAGCATCCCAAAGTGCAGGACTTCACTTTTTCACATGGAAGCACAAATGCCATCCACTCATTTTATTT